AGAGCGTGAGCAAGAGGCAGCGAATTCTTTGGCTCCTAACAAAAAGTTATTTTTAAAAATTAGTATCTCCATTGTATTTATCCCATCCCACTGTACATGATTAGTGAAAATGTCAGTTGGAAAATTTACAAGAAATGTTAAGTCTTTTACAGGAAATTGGAGAGATCGAAAAAGAGTGGTCTCCCAGAATGGTCAAATACTGGAGACAGGAAAGAGATGGATGGTTGCCGGGGTTGGTGGAGGGGCACGAGGCGTCGGTGTCCCTGGTGTTTGTGGGTGCAGTTTCACCTGATGGTAAAATGCTCCCGAGGTGGTTGGCGGCAATGGTTGCAGACATTGGGAACGGGCTTAATGCTGCTGAGCTGCGCGTCTAGAAATGGTGAAAATGATAGGTTTTACGTTATAAATGTGTTCCGCCATAAAAAAAAAAAAATCAGTCTTCAAAAAGAAGTCGTAGTATTTGAACAGTTTGGTTGTCAGGTGTCTAAGTAAGGAGTCAGCTCGGTGATCAAGTCTGGATCGTGTGTCGGTGCACAAGTTCTGGAGGTGAGCGGTGGGCGCAGGTGATGTCTGGAAGCATCCAGGAGCCCGGGAGAGCAGCAGGCAGGACAGAGGAGGCCGTCGGTCCGGACCAGCCTGCTGCTGTGCCTGGTAACTGCCCCAGCTCCCAGCTTTCCCCGAGGAACTGGGTCGTGAGTAGGGCAGACGGAGCTGTGTCTGGAGGGATGTGCCACCTATCTTTATTTCACCAGACCCTAGCAGGTATCTGGGGCACTATTGAATGAACCCTTCAGTGAATCCTGCAGTTTAGAGTCCAGGGGTGTCTCCCAATTCTGGTTCTCGTTAACCAGTAACAAATATGTTGGTGAGTAAAGAAGCTAGTAGTAGTCATGTTTTTTGTTTTGTTTTGCTTTATTTTTTTTATTTATTTATTTTGTCTAAGGGCAGATGTGCTTGCCCTAGGGAGACAGAGAGGGAAAGTAAGAATACCATGTCCCTTAGGGAGGTGGCCACACTCCAATCCCGTCTCCTCCAGTCTCCTTGTGATTTTGGACATACACACACATGTGCCTTATGTGATTTTCAAGCATCTGGGTCTGCGACTCAAACCATGGTCAGCCATATGGGAATCCAGCATCTTAACCACCATGCCACCTGCTGGCCCCTCTATTCATGATATTTTTGAAAATTAAAAAAAAAAAATTACTATCAGTCTTTAATTTGCTATAGGACACATGTGTTCACCAAAGAGGGACAAGGAAAGAAGGAAGGTCAGAAAGGAATCTGCCAGGTGCAGGACTCGAACCGTGATTAGCCGAGTGGATGTCAAGGGCCTTAACCATACCACTTGCTAGCCCTGAAGGTATTTTCCTTACCTACCAGTCTTACTGTTTCTGGTCCCAGCTTTGCTGAGATAGAATTTATGTATCAGACAGTTGACCTGCTTAAAGCACGTAATTTACTGGTTTTTAGCATATTCACAGAGTTGTGTAGCCATCACCACAATTTTAGAACACTTTCTTCACCCCAGAAAGAAACCTGACACCCCGTTAACCCCTCCACCCCATCTGCCAGCCCAAGGCAACCACTGGTCTTCTCTCTGTTTATAGACTTGTCTTTGCCATCATCTCCTGTAAGTGGAGACATGCAGTTGTTTTTAGTGTTTGATTGTTTTCCACTGGAGTCAGCAATGTTGTTAATTAATGCTCCTCCCTGTCACAGCACGCATCCAAACATCATTTGTTTTTATTGCCAGTTAATAGTCCAGTGTATGGACGTACCGCATTTTATTTACCCGTTTATCAGTTGATGGACGTCTGGGTTTCCCGTTTGGCCGTACTGAATAACGCTGCTGTGAATGTTTATGTAGACATTAGGCCTGGACACTGTTTCCGTCTGCTCTGGGCGTACACCCAGGAGTGGACTTGCTAGACATTGAGGGGCTTTGGGAAAGTGTCACGCTGGTCTCCAAAAAGGCTGCTGTGTCTCCCCTCTCGCGACAGCGTGTGCAGCCTCGCTTCACACTGCAGTGGTCGGAGGTGGTTTTCATTTAGAGCCCCGCTTAGAAGCAGAGGGATGTCTGCATGTCTCTGTGTTCCGGCCTGGTGTGTGAACCTGTAGATCACCTGCTCTTTGTGTCTCGTATTTACGACTTTAGCTCCTGCGGACGCACTCAGAAAGAGGAGGCACTCAGTAAGTTCTTGCTGGAAGTGTGATTCTTCCCTGCCTTTGCTCCACATCCAGCCCCTCAGGAAGTTACCCCGTTAAGATCTGCTGAGGAAGAACTCGTTTCCCCTGTGACCCATGGATCAGGCAAATCTGGGAGCATTCGGTGTGAGCGTAACCATGGTGATAGGAGACCCCGATCTAGGGGTGGAAGGTGTGAGTAACCTCACTGACATTCTTCCTTCTGCTGAGGGGCTCTGGCACGATATTACTGTTAAAAAATAAAAAGACGAAGCTTCAGTATTTAGGAGTAAATAAGCAATAGCTAAGTGCGTACACTGCAGTTAAACATGCAGGTTGAATATCACCTGGCTACACGTGCTCTCGGAGAAGAGCAGCAGTGTTGGCGACAGCTCATGCAGGAGCTCAGGAGAAAGCCTGTTCACAGTAATGACCCTCCGGTAGGCGTAGCCCGCAGTTTGCCAGCATTTTGGCACCAGCTGCTTATTGAATTGCAGTCATGACTGGATCATTTTCACAGATCCTGAACCTGCAGTATCTTAATATTATTTAATGAAGTGTTGAGCCATTATCTTTCAGAGAGCAGAGTGACTCCTTAGTGTTCATTATGCCAGTTCCCACAAGGCAGTTCGCAAAAGACAGCCCGAGACCGAGGGCTTCTCTGACTCGCCCGTCTCCAGAGCTCTTTCTGTGAAGGGCAGAGTCAGCAGCAGGTGGCCGCTCGGTGTCCGTGTGCGTTGTTCCCTGCATGGCAGAGTCCTGTGGCTTCTGATAAATGCACATGTGTACCATCACACGCTGTCAGGCTGACGCGCTGAGTTTATTCGTCCACTTACCCGCCCTCTGCCCGCCCCCCACAGTCACCACATACCTGGTGTGAGCCACGTGCCCTGCTAGACCTCAGGACGGAGTAAGGATCGGAGTAAGGACCGGGAGGGAAGGCCGCTTGCCTGCAGGCTGTCATAACGGGCAGCCCGGAGCTGGGAGCAGGCCTGGGAAGGGAGCGTAAGAGAGGAGCTGAATTTGAGGGAGATTGGAAACTGTCTGAAAGATGCAGGGCGGACCTCTCAGCAGGTGGAAAGGCGGCATCCTCTGCAGAGCTGGGTATGGACACGGGCCGGCCGTGACACGGGCAGGAGCACATCCATGGCAGCAGCCAGCAGGGGAGCAGGGCTGGCCGCCAGGAAGGCCGCGTCTAAGCTTGGTGGATAGCTCAGTCTGCTCTGTCCCCTCTGCCCAGTAGTGTACATCAGGGTTCTGGTCTGGCCTGTCAGGACCGGGGCCGCACAGGAGGAGTGAGCAGTGGGTGAGCGAGCAAAGCTCCCTTTCACTCCCTCTGCATTTACGGCCGCTCCCCATGGCTGGCTCCCC